TCTTGTGTTGTTTTCCCCTTGAGGATTCTCCTCCATGGAATCCTTCCCAAGCCCTCTCTAAGTTTATTGAAATTAGCTCTCTTGAAGTCCAAGACTCTAGTTTGACTGTGTTCTATTGCTTGTGCTTCCATAATGTTGAATTCTAATATTGCATGATCACTTCCTCCCAGGGTTCCTATGGCTTCAACACCTTCTATCAGTGGACAATCACTTAAATATGAGCCAGCAGTGTGCTGCAGTTGCCAAAAAAGACAACACAGTGCTAGGCTGCATTAAAAGAGGGACAGAATCAAGATCACGTGAAGTGCTAATACCACTTTACAATGCCTTGGTAAGGCCACACTTGGAATACTACATCCAGTTTTGGTCACAGTGTAAAAAAAGATGTTGAGACTCTAGAGTACAGAAAAGAGCAACAAAGATGATTAGGGGACTGGAGGCTACAACATATAAGGAACGGTTGATGGAATTGGGTATGTCTAGTTTAATGAAAAGAAGGATTAGGGGTTACATGATAGCAGTATTCCAATATCTCAGGGTTGCCACAAAGAAGAGGGAGTCAAGCTATTCTCCAAAGCGCCTGAAGGCAGGACAAGAAGCAATGGATGGAAACTAATCAAGGAGAGAAGCAACCTAGAACTAAGGAGAAATTTCCTGACAGTTAGAACAATTAATCAGTGGAACAACCTGCTTTTAAGAAGAGACTGGACAACCATTTGTCCAAAATGGTATAGGGCAGTGGTGGCGAACCTATGGTACACGTGCCAGAAGTGGCACTTAGAGCCCTCTCTGTGGGCACATGTGCTGTTGCCCCAGCCTTGCCTCTCCCATGACTCCCTCCTCACCAGCAGCCCCCTTGGAGGACAGTCGCCCCCGAGTGTGGCCCACACAGAGCAGCGCAGCCAAAGACATGACAGCCAGGCAGCGTAGACAAGACTCTGCCCTCACATCCCATCCTGCAGTTGATGCTGCGGGGCGCGGGCAGAGGGCATGGCCGCAATGGTGGTGCTAGGCTGCCTGGGCGATCTGCGGCGGGCCCTGGAGGTGGTGAGTGGCCCTGCGGGCAGACAAGGTGGGGGCGGGGCAGGGGGTAGAACAGGAGCGGGGCCAGTTTTTGGGCACTCGGTCCCTAAAAGGTTCGCCATCACTGGTATAAGGTTTCCTGCCTAAACAGGGGGTTGGACTAGAAGACCTCCAAGGTCCCTTCCAACTACTACTACTACTACTACTACTACTACAACTACTTATTATTATTATTATTATTATTATTATTATTATTATTATTATTATTATTATTATTATTATTATTATTATTATTATTATTATTATTATCCCACCATCACATGACCCTGAATTATGTTTGTGCTGGAAAACTGGCATTTGTTCTGGCAAAAAGCAGTCACTGTGAACAATGGGTTAGTTTAACCCCCATCTTACTTGCTTAACAGCCTCAGTGGTCACTTTACAACTGCAGCGTTTGCTTAACAGCATTTGCTGCAAAAAAAGTCATATAATAGGGAGTGGTCATGTGATGACCCATTTAATGACTGCACAATTCACAAAGGTAATTCCAAGCTCAGTTAGGATCGTAAATCAAGGACTACCTGCACATGGCTTTTGGACTGGCACAATATAAAATGGGGAGAACTATGGTTCCTCAAATGTTGGGCAATTGGTCTCATTGTCACTGATTGTGAGCCTTGAAATCTAGGCCAACGGCTATTGGGCTTGGTTATTTTCAGCCACGTTACTTCTTGTGGTTCAAAATTACAATTTCTGCCATACAAAATTTCTGCCCCAAGGCAAACTGAAACCTACAAGACAACACTGGAACTGCAGAAAGTTCTTCAGCTTCCAGTTGAAGGTTTTCATCATGAAACTAATTATCCAGATCTTGGTACAATGATATGTATTAGTGAACAATGGTGCCTATGTCAATAGTGACAATGATGCCTAGACCATTTTTAAAAGGATGCTCGAGACTATATTAAAAGGATGCTCCAAAAAAAATACCTCAACATGTATAGGCAATATGTGTACAATGTAGGCGACATTATCAGTGTCATCATCTTCATTCTACATCAGCTAGAATCTGTTTTCCATCTGATCTTCCAAACACTATTCCCATAGATCATACATAGTGATTACGACTACAGCCCGGTTTACATAACTGTCTAAGCAATAAAGTGACATACTTCACTCAAATTTAGTATGTTATTTCAACCCAATTATATGTGGTTTATATAACAAGCATGGTTATATACTTTGGTCTACTATAAGAGGTAAACCAAATCT